CACTCAATCCCTTTATCTACATCATCAGTGAAGATATTAAACACCACTGGTCTCAATACAGATCCCTGAGGGACATCTTGTCACTGATGTTTACTGGGACTCTGAACTGTTGACCACTACCCTCTAGATCTGACCTTCGAACCACTTTCTTATCCATGTAACAATCCACCCATACTATCTATAGTGGATAAGGTGATTTTCATGGATTACTACCTAAAGACATTGACAGTCTCTCTAATATGTACTGCATATAATGTACATAATGTGAACAGTAGGGAAAGAAATGTGTAACTGTAAAATGCTGAGAAGATAGAAGACGAGTAAAAATATAAAGACAAAAAAGTAATCTCAAACAGCAGAATTAAGGTCCATCATCAACTGCCATTGAATATAAGTTGACAACTACAGAGCAGCAGAGTTATATCTCTCTTTTAAATTTAACTTTCCATACTCACTATGATTTTGTCTATCTATTGGACAGTTTAGTGGAAAGAGTAAAAATAACAATATAAATGTATTTATATTAGTAAATGTAATTTAGGAAAAAGAAAATAAATCAGTCAACAAAGTTGTTCAGCTATGGCCAAAGTCATATCAGTATAGAATTATACCCTCCTAATTAGTTCCATAAGAATGACATGGAAAATAAGTATAAGTTTTGAGATTAGATTGTGGTGCCACATGTAAGAGATTAATCACATGCATGTAATGTGTCAGGCAGAAATGTCAGTTGCAGAAGAATCATGATGAGAAAACTGAAGAACAAAGGGCAGCTATGAAGACTTATAAAGGGGAAGAAGACATTGAAAGTTCATGGAAGAAATAAAGCAATGTAACTATAACATAAGCAAATGTTGGTCTGGTTTAGAGGCAGAAGGGTCATGCTGTGCTTGATGCTATTCCTCTCCATTTCTGTTCAGAAATTATGATTAATTTGGAGCAAAAGTGAATAGAACTGTTCCAGCAGAAGGCTGGATTAACCAATCATAAACTCTATTCTTTTACTGAAATTAATGGACCTATCTGAGGCTTTTATCTGGACCAATGAATAGAAACATGTGAAGACTTTGACAGCTGACAAGGGTGTTAGAATGAATCTGTTTTCTTTTATAAAAGGAAAATATTAATGACCTTGAACTCTGAATATCTATCTGATACAGTGAAGTCTGGTATTTTCTAGTTTGTTAGTCTTCAAAAATAGACTGCAAGAACACAGAAAATTGTGTGTCTACATTGTCAAGTTTCTGGTTTAGTGATTAGTTATTAGAAATCTTTTACAATTTGAAAGCAGTACCTGTTAATTCCTGGTCTCCCTCTCCCCATCCGCATAAAAAATTGTATACATTTAAAAATTTTCGACTGACAGAGGTAACAATAGCATTAACTGTGTAGAACATATTTTTAATTTCATTTATATAGAGTTGTCCAATTGCTGCTATTTTATTTTAATATATCTGTATATATTTTTTCCTGTATGCTAAAGACTGTCACTTCATAAGTCATGTATTCTCAATGGAATTTTTTTCTTAGTTAGAGGGACAATCCTAGACATATATGAATACAATTTAATAAAAAAACACATCTAATTTCTCCATGGCCTGATATCTGTTCTTTCACCCGTTCTGTTGGAACTGGATGACCAGCCTCACCACAGTCCTTTCCTCTTCTTTCCTTCCTAGAGTGAATACTTGGACACTGAATTCCAGCTCCTCCATAAAGGTGGGAAAAACACTGCTTCTAGAGTGGTTTTGAACATCTGAGTGCTCCAGCCATGCTCCCAAATTCCCCAAGTTTTCCTGAATCTACTGCTATTCAAACAGTAGTACACTGAGCACGAAAAGAATTTTCATTCCTACTTAATAAAGCAATCAAATATAGCCCCTCTTGAATGAAAGAAGACATGCACAAGATAATGACTTCAAGGTGAAAATAGCTCAAACATTAAACTGCATGAGCCAAACAGACTCCCATAACAATTCCAATTAAGACTGATCTCAGTTCAGCTTCATATATGGAATTTCTAGGCCATACAAAATGTGATTATATTTAGTAATGTATTTAAATGAATATTGCTTATAGTAATACATTTCAAATGAATACTGTCTGCAGATTTTTAAGAGATGTATGCTTATAGACATGGTCTTATTGTCACAATTTTCACTACTCAAATTTTGTATAAATTGTTCATTTATTCTGCAGAATGGTTGCTAAACTTGTATATCTTAGAAACAGGCTATCCTTTTTATTTGCACTCTCTTCACAAATAATGCACACAGAAAAAAAATACTGGTTGCTAAATAAACAATTTGCAAAGAAATGTTACTTCTTCCAGTCCTTTCATTTATAACCCTTGATTCCAGTATATTTGTTTCCAGTATTGCAGGGAAAAATATCCAGATATTGTTTGGAATAGATTATGTTTAGTTTCATGTGACTCAGGCTGGCTTTTTCTGTGCTGCCTATACTCCCAGACTTTTTAATTCACGTACAACACAATTTGTCATTAATCTTATATCATGAGATAAGAAGTAGATGTATTAGGAATGCTGGTTGAGTAAGATGCCTTAGAAGGAAACTAATAGATGTGATAATGTGCATACAAAACCATCTGCAAGGCTAAAGTTTATAGGATATAGCAGTGATGAAACGGCAAGATAAAGAAAGACAAGTAACAGAACAGAATGATTAGTGAAACACTCTTCCATGAGATCATGGCAATAATAGTGTCCCATGAAAAAATCAAATAAAACCTTTAAGGTAAAAAAGAAGGGCATTTGATAATGCTCTTGGGTTGGTGATATAGACAGCATAAGAAAAAATAGTATCCTCAATATGTTAAATAGATATTTAGTAGACATTAACCAATCTAGAGAGATCTTTGTTCCTTATCAGAGTTAGATTTTCCCCTAGTTTCTGTAAAGAGATTCTGCCTGGATTTTAATCATCCTAGAGCGTGATGGACTGATTTTATTGCATGAACTATTTTCTTCTGCAGTGGAATGGAGATGATAAACTTTTCAAAATGCAATAGGAAGCTAGTTTCTCTTCATTCGGGATCTGATAAAGCTGCCTGAACACCCAGTTCGGAATAGTAATTTCAAACCCATTCCTTACATCAATTACTGAACTGCTTTCAAGAACATTCTGGATTCTAAGTATGAATCCTTGCAAATTTCAAATATATGCCAAATGAATCTATAGAAAAATGTGTGGATATTTAGCAAAATATTACGCCCTTGGTTATCCAGACCAAAGTAGGTTTGGCCCAGCCCCTGAAGGTGAGGATAACTGAGGTTCTTGTTAATAGATCCCTTAGGGCAGATAGATAGATAGATAGATAGATAGATAGATAGATAGATAGATAAGGTTTCTTTTAGAACAATTTTCCCACAATGGAAAGAGGTGTGTAGTCTTTTTGATTATCATTATCGATAGCAATATTGCAACATAAAAGTAGAAAGATATCACCACCCATGGGTCCAGTGACAAGACTTGATTGTTGTAATTTCATTGTCTGCTGGTTGAAGTGATGGTGGCCTCTTGATCCCTCAGGGGTGGGAAAGCCCATGAAGCACAATGGTCAATGGTTAATATAGGGTCAGGGTCAGGTGGAATGCCCAGGTGCGCAAGGGATATTTGGTGGTTTATGACACCTTTGGGACATGGCAGCTCCTTCTCACCCAGCTTAGTTGAGCTGGTTATGACCCATCAGAAGGAATTAATATCCTCAGGCCTTCATGTGAATGTATAGAACCCTTCACTGAAGGGGACTTTTACACCTGATTCAGTTGTGTAAGAGACAGTTTTAGCATGATAAAGCATTATTCCACCTTCACAGGATCTGCCTCTTCACTTCTCTGCCTCAAAACTCAGCAAATAACTTCCAGTCCTGTTTGCATAATCTCTCTGTACTTGGGCTTTTACCTTGCACATCATCAGCAGAAAACCCTCTGGTTTTGCAAAATGGCCAATTATTTGAGTCATTAACCCTTAACATTTCAGTCTCTCACACCGTCATTGCATCAAATGCAAAAAGCTGTGTCTCATCTATCATGATGTCAGATTGTGTCTCTGAGCTAGAACTTGGTCAGCACAAAAGTTAGCCTAATTCTCCTATTCATGCTCTTTTAAATTACTACTTCCTTGTGAGGGGTGGGATACAAAAGGCACCAAGGGGTCTCAAGGCACAAAAATCTATTACCATTTTAAATCATAATCAAAAATTCATATAATGTCAAAATCTTCTAAAATAGAAGCCACAGATGGAAGAATTTGTAATTGAGTGTCTGACAGAAATTAAGATACAGTTTATTTACATTCTTATAGCAAATATGAAGACAAGAAATGTAGCAAAAATCCACAATTCTGAAGAAAAGGTTGCTATCCAAAAACATACTAAAAGAGTGGAGGTACTTATTGTTCTACTAGCGAGGATTATTTAACTTCTGCTATGTAGGTAGACATAAAGAAACACCACATGCCCAGACTGCAATGCAATTTTCCCAGGGTAATTTTGGGGCTTGCTAACTGATTCTGACCAAAGGGTGCCAGCAGAGCTGATAGGCACTAGGAATTGCTAAGGTTAAAAGGACTAGGCCTGACAGTAGTTTTAAAAAGGAGTCTTTCATGAAAAAAAGTGAACAAATAACACTTGGCTGCAAATATACTGTTGTTTTTTTTAACTAATTTGAGTAATTGTAATCAACTCCTCATTGCTTTTAATGTCACTAATGCTGTCTGCATCACGGATAGGTGCCTATATTTCAAGTAAAGTAGCTGAACAGCTTGAGATACATTAAAATCATGGGTTTGCAGTCTTTAACTCCAAGACAAACACACAGGTTTTAACACTGAAAGCAAAATAAATGCAGTGGCCTCCAGGACCTTGTTTCAGTGTTCTCTGCCTTGTTTTGGAAATATTTTCACCCCCTCTTAACAATGGTCCTGTAAGATTTGAAAATTTTCAAATAAAAAAATCCATTGAAGCCAACAGAGCAAACCTTGGAAGTTCCTCCATCACCAGCAAGAGAGGATGTGAAGAGGCAGTAGGCTGGGGGCCAGGACCATTCTTAAATTGTCTGTCTTGCAGTGTTGATTGCAGTCCAGATATAAGTCAGACTTTGTGTGTGATGTTTTTTTCTGGAGGCCAGAAACAAGAAATCAATATCAGAGTATTTCTTTTCTAAACCCTATCAGAAAATAACAGTGATTCCAAGTACAGAATGATAAGTGCAAATGCAGCTAATCTCCCCACTCTTCCGTGAAACCATGCTGTCCTGTTCAAGCTGGCAGCTGGGAAAGGCTGTTGGTTAACAGCAATTATGGAGGTACTTAAGACATGTTTTAATGGTGCTTAGGAACATGATTTGGTGATGGTGGGTTTGGGAGTGCAGGGGTAATGACTGGACATGGTGATTTTAAAAGTCTTTTCCAACCAAAGAAATTCTATTATTCTATGATTCTGTGATCAGACATAGGGTGAGAGGGAGTTTGTTTGTCCAAGCCAAAACCCAGCCATTTTTTTATTAGCAGCTCAGTGATAAGGAAAACCACGTACCACTCCTTAACCCTGTATCTTGCTTTTTCACAAGTGTAGATGAAGTCCAAGGCCCTGAACATCTTCTGGAATACAGTCTGAAGAAATGTTTCTAATATGAATTTGAATGTTTAAAATGTGGATGTTAGGAGAGTTTTGGTGTTGAGGAGAGTCTTGGACTCCAGTTTAACAGATGGTGTATCCCGCTGAATTCAGCAGGTGATTAAACAAACCTGTGGAGAAGTAAAAAAGAAATGAATTCACATGAACTTGAATATAACTTCCTCAGAAAAGGTTTGATCCAGCTCTTTGCAAAAGCCTTTAAGGAGATGTTTTAAAATTACTGAACTGTGATAAAACAGCAAATATATTTTGTGTACCTACACAGAGATATATATGCTCACACCAAAAATTAGATATACACACACACACATATATATATATATATATTAAAAATATTTAGTCAGATCAATACTATTAGAAAGTGTTTAACATGCTGGCCTTTGTATTTCCAATAATGACATTTGTCTAATTACAGATTTGGTACCCTGTCATAGTTTATCATGTGAGAAACTAACACAACTGTAAAGTTGAATAATATTCCTGTATCCAGGAATACTTGCCATTTCTGTCCAGGCATCTGTTATTGTAACACAGTTATTTAATTTTTTAAAACAGTGGTATTTTCAATGTACATACAAATCATGCGTACTTATTTGGAAAAGAAAACCTACAGGCAGTAAACAGAAAGACAGTAAACTGATATTTTTTTGGTTGAGAATGTAAAAGCCATAACAACAATTATGTACATTAAAATCATAAAACAACTGAAACAGCTACTTGGGCTAATATTAAAATTAATCTAGAAAAAAAATCTATTTATTACTGTGGTTTTCAATTTCAAAATAGTTGAGATTGGAATGAATTGTTGCAATTAAAAAAAAATAATAAATAAGGTATTTTCCTATTGTAGCTTAAAGAATGCAGACTTTCTTGGGGACACAGGAATGTAGTTGTACGAACAGACCCTTGTTCATTAATGTAGCTGCAGCCATATTTACAGATATTTCTGCATGTTCTTCGTGAAGAATTTGTGATGAAATTCTATAAAACATCTGATAATGTACCAATAAAAAAAGTCCATAAACTACTGGGAATGCATTTACTCAAAAAAATAACTATTTTATAGTCACCTGAAATGCAAATGAAAAGCTGGTGTTGTATCAGTTGTTCATAGAAATTATAATAGTAATTCATATTTAACAGTTTGTCCAACTAGCCAAAAAATGGGTGAGTGATTTCAATAGGTAGCTAAATTACAGCTACAGATGGAGTAGCAAGACCAAAAAATTATTTTTCTATTTAAGGTCCTTAATATAAAGGAAGGATAATGGATCATTTTGGTACCAAAGATGCATTTCCTCTTCTACACCAGTATCTTTTAAGCCGTTTTATCAGCCTGATGCAAGGGCAAACGTGCAATCTCTCTTAAGGTTGTAGCAACAACACAGTTTGGACATTTGGCTTCTTTAAGTGATTCTTGCAAAGTGACAGTTTTGCCTGCCTCAAAATATGACCATAATATTCAGGACACAATTTGATCTCTTATCTATGTTATCAACACTTTGGGAGAGATGATTTTTTCACTTAAATGGGTTATGAAAAAACAAACTGCCTGAGGCCATTAAAACTGATAATAAACATTGATCTACTGCTAAAATTAATTTAGAAAAGATCATCTATGAGGAAGTGGGAAAGGGATTTAAGAATATAACTGTAATATTCAACTATATGAAAGTTATTCTTACAGATACAAAACAGATAGTACAAATATGTCTTTATATCCACCAATGGTAGATGTGCACAATAAAAATAATAAAAAAGCCTAAAATAATTAAAAATACTTGATATAGATTAGAAAATCATCATTAAATGCATTACCTATGGAGACTGTACAATTTGGATTAGACTTTATTTTGAACAGGCATCTTCAGATAATACCAGCCAAAAGCATTCTGTTAGACTGTGTCCAGACTCTTTTGACCAGGGATACAGACCAAATCATCATCTCCTGAAGGCACTTTGAAGCATGTGCTTCTATTGTGCAATTCATTGCTTCTATTCCAAAAAATGACAACTTGTGTATAAATTGTGAAATGTAATGGAACATTTATTAATATTTTTCTGAAGGAATCTTTTGAGAAAGAAATATTATCTAAAGTTTTATCTGCTTTTCTAAGACAAAAAAAAAAGGCAAGATGGTTCTGAACACTGTTAATTATCTCTGCTGGTGGCTCTCACTTCAGTAACATTCAATATTGCACCGAGACTTTATTTTCCCTCGCAGAAATGGTTCTTCTTGTGCTGGGTTTTGGATTTTTCACTTCTTTTATTAATTATTGTTTGTAGTAAGTCTTAAATCACCTTTTCCTTAGCATTGCTGTCCATTATTACTTATTGCATTTGTGGACCTAAAAATAAAGAATTCTAGGTCTTTGCTTTTCATATACCTCTATAACATGCTGTATTGAATGCTTTATGCTTTACCTACAAAAAATAATGATGGAACTAGTCTTGGTATTGGCAGTATAAAAAGAAAAAAAAATTAATCATTCTAGAAAACAAGGTGATTTTCCTTTGGTCTGAGTAACACTAATTATTTCTGCCTGAAATACATTCAAGGCTGCTGTGTAGGAGTCAGGTTGATTCAACTTCACAGTTTGGTTTTTTTTGTATTTTTCTTCCTTTACTTATGAGATTGTTTGATTTTAAATCAGTTGCAGAAAGCCAAACCATAAGCTTATGGCTATCACTTAAAGATACACAAGCAAATATGATGAAATTAAAATAACACCCTTTAGCAGGATGGAAGACATAGTGTGAGCAGAACTAGCTCATGAATACATTTTATAGTTCTAGAGAGTTCTCCAAAAAACAACAAAATTGGTTTTAAAAATGTCATCAATGATGAAAAGTAGAAAAGAATGGATTCCTTTTGTTAGTTATTAGAAAAAGCCCAACAAAACTACAATCTCTTCATAACCATAGTTCAGTTTTTTCAAGAAGTATCCTTACTATCTGAATTAGTAACAGCTTGACATATTTAAGGAAACTTGAGCTTTTGCAAGATATGCCGGTGTGCTGTACATTCTAATGATTAACCCTTCACACAGAAAGTCAAATGGTAAAATGCTTTGCATCATTATGGCTTCATCTAATATTTGTATCATCCCACTGCTGTATTTTAGCAGTGCAGTGCTGTGCAGTGAGAACTGCCCATAACTGAGTGAGTTTTGGTACTGAAAACAATGATGCTGAATTGAGCTGCCTTCTTGCAAGTCCCAGTATGTGCATCAGGAGGACACATCGGCCCCTCAGGCTGACAGCCAGAGCAGGAAAAATGCCCTCTGTTCAAGGGAAGGCCCTCCAGTACGAAATAAAGTGCAGAGAAATAGATGCTCATTTAAGTAGCTTTTTATGGAATGGAGCTGAGGATATCAAAGCTAAGACATATATTGTGAGAGTGTGCAAAGTCAGTTGAAGATTCAGAGCCTCCTAGGGTAGGATAGAGAGCGGCAAGTGTAGAGGAGCACTGAGAATGGCTACATATCAACTCTACTGCTTCTCTAAAAGATCCAGAAATTCCACATAGCTCTGAATTCTGACCAAAAAATCAGCCACTTTTTCGTTACTGAGGAATTCTACTTTTCCAAACCTGGAGTGTTAGGCCTATGCATGGATGTATATGGATTTGCAAGAAAATAAGAAGTGTTTGAGTTCTCATATCTGTTTTTCCTTATCCTTGTGGAATGAAGATGGAACCTTTTGGGAAGGAAAAGTAAGTGACAAGCATAACTTTGAACTGATATAGCTCTAATGGAAAAATAATATTAAAAAGTCTTATGGTCTATTTTTCTAATAAAATAGTTTATTCCATAAAATTACTGAGTCCTGAAAATTTGTTTCCAGATACATGTTCTCCTGTTTACTATTTCATTATCTTAAAAAATAGAAGTAGCTTTGGAATCAACATTCCCAATTTGAAAATCTAATTTATGCTACTTTGTTTAAATTAAAGTCCACATATCTTCCTGAACATGGTCATTTGTTTCCCTACATTCTTTGTGGGGAAACAAATTGTTCCCTAATTGCCCCCTAATTATTTGAACTAATTTAATGTAGTTTTTTCTCAAGGTTTTCATTTGGATTTCAGTAAGACAGTCTGTTTTCCCCAACCCTCAATCCCTGAATTCCAAAAAAACTCAACTCTGACCTATCTGTGTTTACATAACTCCCTGGATCATGGTGTCTTAACACTTCTCAAATTTGATGGCAATTTCCTCCTTAGCACCCAGTAGATGGAAGGCACTATTTCACCTTAAACATTTTGTAATAATTTATGCCCCATGTTTTAGACAAGAATATTGTAAATTTTAAAATAGCAGTATCTACCTAGAAATATGTTGATCTGGCTTGTCTAGTGTACAAACCCAGTGCAGTTACTCAGAATACAAAAGGTAGTTTCTGGTTCTATATAAATTGAGTAGATACCATCACCCCTGTGAAAAACTGCTGTCCACATTTTGCTGATTGGAAGAGTTATAAACAGGAGCTAGACAAATAGGAATAGCTCACAGAAGAATCCTGCTATGAAGCCAAATCACTTGTTTTAACCTTAGGCTATGGATTTAAGCAGGGGATTTACTTGTCTCTAACCAAGACCTCTATGCTTTGAGCTGTTTATTCTGAAATCGACAGCAATCTATGTTCATGGTCACTTATATGCATGAGCTACATCTGCAGAAATAATTCTTATTACAAAAAAAAACCAAAAATGAAAATGCATGTTATAATAATATAAGGTTTAATTATCTATGGAAATAAGCAAGAGACGAATTTATTTTCTTTTGCGCAATTGTAAAATGATAATGAGAAGTTCAAGAGGTTTTCTATTAATATACAATGGTCTTCACTTACAACACACAGAGTATTTTTAATTTCCTGAGTTTTTTAATCTTCAATTTGATTCAGTCTTCAAGATTAAATAGTTAACTCACACCTCAGAAGACAACTGAGCCTCTTTTTCACACTGATTTTGACAAGTCACTTACAACTGCATTACTATTTCCAGACATAACACAGCACCTATATAACACAGATGCACATAAATAAATGTGATGGCAGAAGTGCATACCAGAGTGGTTAGGCAGCATGAATCAGTGGCAAGTTACACAGCTCTAGTGACTCCAACAGTATTTGGATGCAAGTTAAAAAGGATTCAGAGGGTTATTTTTTCACAAGTACTTTCTACAGACAATTTTGTAACATTTGGACATCCATGAGGTATGGTAAGCAACAGCTCTGTATACCTGAGATAACTTACTAGGACTTTAAATTAAGATCTCACTAGACTTTTTGCTTTCTCTCACCTTTATTTTCAGTTCCATATCTCATCTACTGACATTTTTGTCCTTAGGTTACCATCAATAATACTGTTATGACATGGTTACATCCATGTTATCTGTCTTAATTGTTACAGAATAGGTAAGGATACACAGAAACTGCCTGCCACTGTATTGATAAAAGTCATCTTAGTGCCAGAAACATACTAGAGAAGTTTCAGTAACACTTTTAGAAATTTGGGTACATATCTCATGATTTTAAATAAATGTTGAATTTTTTGATATATCACGTTAATTGAATTTTCTATTTTAAGTATTTTTTGTTATATTTTATTGCATACATTTTCTAGCTCTCATTTATTTCATAACTAAAATGGAGAATAGTAATGTTACAATGTTCTTTCATGTGTCAGATGAAAAACAACAATAGACATAAGTACATGTGATGGTTTAATCACAGTCAGCAGCTAAACACCATACAGCTGTTCACGCACTCACTCCCCTCCCCTGTGGGACTGGGGAGAGAATCAGAATTGCAAAAGTGAGAAAGCTCATGGGCTGCGATAAAAAGAGTTTAATAGCTGAGGGGAAAAATTAAATAAAATAATAATAAATTGTAAGGAAAAGAAAAATAACAGATGGAGAGAAATAAATCCTAAGAACGACAAGGAATGCAAATGAAAATAATTGCTCATAATCAAGAAACTGATGCTCACTCAGCCAGTCCCCAAGCAGTGGCCTCCCTGCCAAGCCCCCATCTAGTTTTTGTGCTGAGCATGATGCCATAGAGCAGGGAAGGTCCATTTGGGTTGGGATCAGGTGTCCTGACTGTGCCACCTCACAGCCTTTTGTGCACATCCACACACTCACTCACTCATATCCCAGTACTGGGATAAGGGAAAAGGCCTTGGCTCTGTGTAGCTTTGTGCTATAAACACACTTTACTGCACAAAACCAAAACATAGCTATGAAGCAAATTAATTCTATCCTATCCAAAATCCACAGAAAGATAAAAAAAAATAAACAAATTCATAATTGGCGACCTAAAAATATTTAAACATTGAACTTAATTATTAGCATGTATGTTAGATGTAAAAATCTTTGTCTTCAGTGCAGATCCTGAGTAGTATTTGAGGACGATTGCAATCTAATCTTGAAATTTTAGTATTCTTTCATTTTTATTTTTCTAAGAACATTTTCTACTGATACTGAAACTTCTTCAAACTTTTCCTAGGGATCCTCTCTAATAGCTAATAACTCTGGTGAAGGAACCTCTCTGAAAAGATCTATCATGAGAATACTAGTGCAAAAAATTATCTTAAATAACTTTGTCTATGATATACTTTTTATATATTTTATGCTGATTCAAAACTTTTTACAGTAAAACAACTTTATACTTCTAATGGAACATATTTTTGCACATTATCAAAAATATTATATGCAATATGCTGTTGAACTTTTCAATTTCTGCCCATTAAACTAATTGGAAGAATAGTAACAAATTTTGTGGTTAGTCTAGTAAGGAACCTTTTCTAGAATTATAATTAATTCAGTGGCAAGAGGTCTTTTTTTATACAGGACAGCTGACATAACGTATTGAAAGCAATCAAAGTACAGCCTGATATTATCATTGCACCTTGAAAACACATTGTAGTTTTTCCATCTTATCTTTTTTTGATCTTAGGGAAATTGTGCATAAATATCCTGGAAAGAGAGACAAGATAATAAGCCAAAGCCACCTGTCCAGAAGATGAACTCCAGACTTTCTTCAGACTGTGATCTGATGTTTTGAATTCAGTAAATTTTAAATATTTCTTCTGAGCATTTATGTTTCAAAGACTATAAAAGACCTTGCAACTACTGCTCATTACAAAATTACAAAGAGCAAATGATAGAATTCAAGCTTTAACTGTACATGGAATTATGAGCTGTATTAAAATCACCTAGTTGGACTTTGTATTTTGATATCACAGTTCTTTCAAAGGACTTTATAGGAAATATGTTCTGGATAGAAAGTTTCTGTTATTACTCATAAGTTTTTGAATAAAGATGCTTTAGCAGTTGTAGAATTAAGTTAGTAGAATTTAGAAAACTCTTTGAAAGCCATCCTTTTTCACTACCTAAATGTCAGTGTAATATTTCTTAATAGAACTTTGTAAATCGTGTTTTCAAAATGAAATAATATTATGAATTCATCAAGGTCTGACAATATAGAACAGTCCATATTTTCCCTGTTCTCCCAGTATGCACCATTTTGGAAGTATTCAATAAAAATATCAAAATAATTTTAATTCTTTTGTAGTAAGGTAAAGTAAAGTAAGGTAAAGTAAAGTAAGGTAAAGCAAAAATTCCTTCTGATGTTCAAAGTTTACTAAGAGCAATGCCAAAAGGGTTGGTATCTCATATTCTAAAATTTGTCAGCAATGTTACTGGCATTTGGATTTTTATATAATCTAATTATGTCATTGTAATCTTTACTGACATATTGACATATATAAATAAATTCATTTATGTGAATGTTTGTGCATGTATAGACACATACAGGAGAGATTGTATGCTTTTCTTCTGTATTATCTCAGAGATGGCAGGGATCATATTCTTTTTCTAATGAAACAAGCCATAAAGGCCTGCATGAGTTTCCTGGGAATATAATATTTTTAAGAATTATTAAGTGTTTACACAAGAATGGTGTGGGTTTTTTGTTTTGGTTTGTTTTTTTGTTTGTGATTTTTTTGTTTTATTGTTGTGCTGGATATGCAGAGATGGGGGGACAAAGAAGTAGGAGTAGCTCCCAGAGGGTGGTAAAGATTCTAGAACTCACTAATGAATGTTATTTTTTATCTTTAAATCATTCTTATGCAAATTTTATGTAAATTTTATGAAATCTTGTCTGTGCATGAAAAGAATTGGTATCTGTAGAAGAACATATTATCTATGAAAACACTGAAATTAAATTCTTTTGGTTTTCAATTCCTAACAACACAGAGTTACTGATTTTGCTTCCCTATACCCTGTTTCATATCAATGCAAATTATTTGTAAAATTCACAGACTTACTATTTCTGGTTACTCAGAAGTTCATATAATCTCTAACCTGGTTTTCCTTTGCTACTTGTACAACAACCACCTCGTACAACCTCATGAAGTTGCAGTAGGGTTAAATTTGACTTGGTTGTTCATAGCAAGGATTTGCTGCCAACAATATTTAACATGGTTTGAAAGCATTTTTTAGTGCCCCAATTGACCTCTATATGATATTTCATGCTGGAGTTTGGCAATGTACATGAGCTTTAAGCAGGGTCAATTTCACTAGTATATGTACCCAGATATTTCATTTTTATGCTCTTCATATGTATCAAACCACAGGAAAATTATGTTCTTGACATGTTTAAAATTTTCTTTAAACTCATGTGTCTGAAAAAAGATTTTAAAAAGTCTCTAAACATGTTTTCATCCACCATTAAAAATATGCATACTATTAATGTAAGTTTCAGTACTGGTAAAGTTCTAAAAAGAGAATTAAATTCTTCTGTAGGTAACAAAAATGAATATTCACCATTAGAACCCATTTGCATTTTCTACACAATTCATGAAAAAGAAAATTGCAATAGTTTTAAAGATGAGACATCTAGTAAAAAATTATCATAATAAAATACATTTTAAAACAGCACAATGTTTGTGAGCTAAGAAATGCATATTGAATCCCAGAAATAACCTATGGAATTTTTTATTCAGTATATTTTTCTACTGCTTGTAATTTTTTCACTGCCTGAATCTTCCACACTTCCTTCTTCCAGACAAGTTTAAGGAAGACTTTCTAGCTGCTACACTCTAATAGTGCACATACTTCAGAACACAGGAGAAAAACACTAAAACAAATAATACATAACTACAAAGACAAAAGAAGTTATGGCCTGACATTTCTTATGTGTTTTTTACATGAGGTTCAAAAGCTAAAAGATATATCAGTAATCTCTACTACCTTAAAGCACATGAAAACAGTAAATAGATTTTCTCATCAAGGAAGTGCTGCTGTTGCAAAATTGATGTTTGACCTCACTGAGTTCACATCAAGCTGTGCAGCCACACTGGAAACTTTCCACACCTTCACTTTGTTTCCTCGCTTTTAGGTTTGTAGTTTGGTGTTAATGGATTAACTGTATTTCAGCCATATTATAGCATATATATCACAGACTGCAGGGTTTCTTTGTCATTGGCTGCATTTTTGTCTATATTCTGTGGGTTTTCTTCTTGATTTACTTTGCTTTGGTTTTTGACAGAGTAAAATGGTCTTATTGTGACCATAGTCTTAGGTAGAGAGATAGAATAAGTACTTCAGAATTTGTCACAGCATACATACCATGGTTTATGCATGTTTTGTGAAGCTGTGGCCATCTGCATCAGAAATGGAGCACAGCACATTGCCTGAAAATGTCCCACTGCACAAACTCCTCACAGGAGAGTAAAATTCTGCTTCAACAGAAAGATCACAGGGCCAGACATGCACTGGCTGTGACATCATGGTCAACAAACCATGGATCAGCAAAAGCAACTGCCTCCCATTCCTGTAGCCTTGTGAGAATACACAGAAAATATAGTTATGAATGGGAAGGGGAAGGGGAAGGGGAAG